AGAGATGAACAATATATACTGCCTCTGCTTCTGTCTGACTGGAAACTGATGAATCTGGGAGGCCAAGGAAGATGGTGAGAGAGGATATACATGTTTGTACTTTAACAACCTCGTGTAAAGAGAGAGAGAGAGAGAGAGAGAGAGAGAGAGAGAGAGAGAGACAGAGCTACATATATGGTTGATAGCACAAGCTATAGACAGATAGATTTGTAAGAGCATATATATATATATATATGTTAGTCACAGATTGTGTGATAAAAGTGGGTATGTGGGGTACTGAAATATTGCGATGCACGCATACTGTTGAGGGGGCCGATCTTATATTCCCGCATGCAAACGTTTTCTCTTTAATGTACAGAGCAGGCACGCTTCCACAAGCAGAAAAAGAAAAGCAGGAAAGGGATGGATACACAATTAGACAGCGAGAGAGTTAAAAGGTTAATTAATTTCTTGTTATTGTTCTTTCTTTGGTTGGCAAAACGTAGTTAAAAGGGTCATTTGTTGTCTAATCAAGGCGCTTCAAGTCTTTGCCTTGCCTTTCCTTTTTCATCTTCTGGCCACTTGTGCCCTTGATTCCAATATTTTACATTTTCTTGCATATTACGTGTCTGGAGAGTGGGAAACTCTTTATTTAAGTGTCTGTACTCTTCAAACTTTATATATTTCTAATCTACTTTTTAATTATTAAATGTAAGATTTTTTTTTTTAATATTTCTTCCTCTATTATTCTGTCTTCTTCTTTTCAAGGATTTGTATTTTCTGAGTCTCAAAAAATTTAAGTCTATAATTATCATTCTCTTTTTTTTAATCTCTAATTTTTTGTCTTTATCTTTTATTTCTTCCTATTCTTTTTGCCTATTTTTTGTTTTCTGTGTTTTTTGTGTGTCTTGTGCGGAATAGTTCTTGATATCATCACAAACTCTTTATCCAAATATTGTAAGTCAAATGGTTAGATATTTCTCACCTCTTAAATATTCCTAATCTATATTTTAATTACTGTATATGAGACTTCTTTTTTCAAACAAAGAAAGAAAAAAGAAATGAATATTGAATGGTGTAAATATAAAATGTGGCCATTTTAGACATGGCCACGTTATGTTTTCTCATTCTCTTATCAAAATTCTCCAACCCATTTGCTTGTAGGAAGTGGGGCACGCATCAGCAGTGACCTTCGCCTTACTGTTTTTGCATATAAGAAATAAGGATATGAAATCTCTTTATGGAAGAGAATGATGTCTTTGCACATGTATAGAAATGAGTGAGGTGAGACCACACACACATGTTCAGTCATTTTTTTTTTTTGACTGAAACACATGTTCAGTCATTTAAATCTGGTTTTTACTAATGGTAATGAATCTGATGTAGACAGATACTAACCAACCGACATGGTCCTATATATATATATATATAGATAATATGCCAATTATATGCGCATAATATTATACTGTCTCCCTTGCTAGTTTGATCCATAAGAATCAAAGAAGGCCTTTAAATTAATGATGGCATCAACTTGTGGCTGGTTGAATGAGAAGTTGAAGTAGAATCTACATGAGCATATAGACCTATGCATTATAATATTACACGTGAGCCATGATGAACACTCCAAGTTTAGTATCTGATTACAATTAGATCTATGGAACAGAAGATTATGAGAAATATAACTATCCTTTTGAATTTTTGTTTGAAGAAGAAAAAAAAACTTGGGTGGAATGTATCTAAGAGGTGGCCTAGGGAGAGGACCACTGGCAGTAAAGTGTCATTATACTATCTTTGTTTTTTGGTCATCACAAAGTGCCGTTTATGTAAAAATGAGCTTTATATATGTTCACAAGGACCACCGTTACCAATCACATGTTGCGTAGCGTGGGTGATACCGAAAGTCTCTTTTCTTTTCTTTTTTTAACCAGAGGTGATACTGAAAGTCTGAAACTGAAATATTTCACTGCAATTCATCTAGTAATGGGAGAAAAATGGAACCTTTAAAATTTGCCTGGAAAAGTAGCCCACAATCGCAGGCCAATTTTTTTTTTTCCGGCTGTGGCAACCAAAATTTGGCGTTAAAGACAATTCTGTTGCCTCCGACATTCAAACTCCTGACTGTATCCTTTGACTCACTCTCTAACCACAAACAGCACAAAGCATGGAATCTAAAGTCAACGCAAATAATTAAAGGAAGGATAATTTATCAGGCAGAGATTTATCTATATAACACACATTAGAATTTAGAGAGGCCTCTAGGACTCGTGAAACACTGAAATTTATGCAAACACTACCCATCTAGTTGCAAAAGTTAGGATAAGATAAAACTCTTTGGTCTAAAACCAGAGGCCAGGGAGTGATGGCGTCGATTTGCAGACCAAAACAAAGGTCCAAATAGTTTTCCATTGAGATAAAGGAAGTAAATTGACTTGCAGCACCTCAAGCAGGTTCCTTACAAAGAAAACAAATGACGTATGGTATTGGCTTCCAACTTCCAAGTTCATAGTGAAAATTCATTCAACTTGTATTTTAGTTGCTGACCATGCGGTATTTTATCTTTGGAATGCAAAGATCACAATGAAATCGTGCATGAATAATAACAAAATTAGTTTAAATCAACTTATAACAAGCCTTCGCATCTCGGAGGTGAACCATAATAGATTATAGCATCAAACTCGTCTTACTTAGCTTGGTGAGTTAACCAATTGAAAAAAATGTTTGCTTATCCAAAGACATGGTTGATCGTAACAGTCTAATTACACAAAATGAGCTCTTTGATAGTCTTAATGTGTCTAATTGGGGGGTGATCATCAGGGTGCACATTTCGAATGAGTGAGATTGCTTTCATGGAGTGGTAGTGGATGTTGACGGTGCAACACTGGTGTCAATTGTAAAAGTGCAAAGAGGAAAATCAATGAAAGAGAGAAAAATTCACAAGTTAAGGTATTCGTTTTGAAAAATTCATTTACTAAATAAAAAAATGTACATTAACTTTAGACCACCTGATAGACATTGGTATGTTCATTTTAATTTTATGCATAGGGAAGATAATAGGTTGGCTGACTATATGTCCAAGTTGGCCTGTCAAATGACTACAATTTATTCAATATCCCCCCTTTTAGCTAGTTTTGGAGTGTTTTATGTGTGTCTTTAGGTTAGCTGATCTTATTTCTTGTTTTGTACTGTGCCTTCTTTAAGTGATTAAATTTCCTGCTCCTATTAAAAAAAAAAAACTTAGACCACCTAGGATTGCTGGTATCTGAATGAAGTTAATACAGAAACCTGGTTATTTCCATTTCTGTTCTTTTCTTTTGGGTAGCATAAGCAAAAGAATTGGATAAACTATTATATATATTAAGCTTATTGCACCTAGATATGGTAATTACTAATTTCTTCTGGGCCAATATGCTTTCCATAGAACATGTCTTTCCGGTCACAGCGGAGCCATGCAAAGGCATGACAAAGAATGATTATTTATACTTTACAGCAGTCAAAATTACTAATTATGCATATTGTCTGCCACGCAAGACCATGGATATAGGCATACATGTAATTGCACAAATGCTGCCACAGTTTACTGGTTCGACGACCCAAAAAAAAAAAAGGATCATTAAAATTGAAGAGCAAACCCATAACAACCTTTGCTTGTGATCATATGTATATATTAAACTGCAAGCTCGCAAGAGCATAGTCAACAGTGCAGTGAAAGTTGATTTAGAACTTTACCCAGAACTTTTAGCCTAAAAAAGAAAGAGAGAACTTTTCCAAGAGCTAAAACAAACGCAGTATAAGTTAATTTAGAACTTTACTTAGAGTTAAAACTATTTAATAGTTGTTAAGATGCATCCAAGGGAAGAAGAAAAATAATAAGCTTCTAAAAGCCTTTCCCACACTCCAAAAAATTTTCTTTTGCATAAAAAATCTGTTCATTAAAGCCGAAGAGTTTGGGCATCAATGCTTAGCTTCTCGTGTGGTCCTTTCATCCTTACTGAGCCCATGAAGCAAAATTCAGGCAATTTTGATTTCCAAAAACAAAAGAAGACGACAATAAGTTCTGGGTAGCAAGATGATGTAGGAAGGCCAGTCCTGGATTAGAGACAGGTGATATTGCAATGGAATGAAGGTTGTCCCTAACCAATTACATTCACGTATAGTATACAAAGCATATAATCAATTGTAACTACTCTTTTGATTTTATTCATAAGTCACTTCTGACATGTTTTACCAGCATTAAGAAAAATTTTAAAACTAATTAATTTTATCTTAAAATTTAATAAGTTCTCAACTTTGTCCTTATTAAATATATACATTTCAATAACATATTTTTTTTTGTCCAACATTTAATGAAGGATAAAAAAAATTTATAATGAAAATTCAATGATGTGATTTATAAATAGGATAAAAAAAATTCTTTTCCGTTTACCTTATAAATAGGATAAGAGGAAGTAAGTCACAAGCCTTAATATTTTCTCATACATATCAATTTTGAAAAATAAAGAAACTAATTTGCGAAAGTGTACTTCAAATCAATAATTGCGATGGGTTAGGGGGTTCCAAGAGTCAATGCATTAGTTGTGTGACCTTTCAGATTGATAACATTTTTTACTTCCTGATATCAATAGGTTGATATTAGTAATGATCTTTTAGATTGTCAATGTCAGAAATTTACTCGTGATTCTCTGGAACGGAAAACTTAGGTATGTGATTTCTATAATTCAACCACAGAACAAATTTTGAATATTACTTTAGTTTCTGCATAATAATTCTGTCAATTATACCTTTAAACTTTTAATATTTTAATTCTAAATAAATTAATTTATTTATATTCAATTAAAAAAATGACCACACATTTTTAATATTTGCATGTATGATCTATAAATTGAATTTTTTTGAGCTAAATTAAGAATTATGCTCTGGCCCCAAAAAAGAAGAATTAGTGCATTGGCCCAAAAAAAAAAAAGAATTGAGCGTTACATCCACGTGAAGAGGGATTAAGATGGCACTGCATTATCAAGTGTAGAATTGCTCACTATGGCGCCTCTGAGTGGTGAGCATAACAAGAGTGAGGATAAGCAAGGCATCATGTTCCGTCGTCCGCGGCTTATCCCTTTCCTGAATTCTCATGAGGCCTAATTTTCTCGAAAGCAGCATGTCCCCATGAACATGATGCTTCCTCGTGGAATACGCCATGAAGAAAGACCCAGAGCTTGATCATTATCATCATCATCTGCAGCAGCAGCGAGACTTGGAAATCCTCAAAGCCGTCGCTCAGGCTTGGTACAGCCATTCCGGCAATTCTAGGCCCATCAGTGAATTCGACGCACGTCGTCGAAATTTCGAAGGCAAGCCTTCCAGATTTCACCCTCAAGCATTGACGACTAGATCTTCGACTATGGAGGAACTCAGCGTTGCTCCCGCCTGGGATTTCAATCAATCACTTTGGGACTCTTACGAGCTCGTCACTGTCTCCCGAAGGTTAGAGACAGCTTTAGGTTTAGATACTGATGACCCCTTTTCGGCTTCGAGTTTGAGTCGATTCCATAGGAGGCGTAGGCAGGAGAGTAAGAATAGCCTTAGGAATCTGTTCAATCAAATGTCTTCTCGGAGATTTAAGGACAAGGAAGTTCCGCGCGAAAATAACACTTGAAGTTTGATATCTGAAAATTCTTTTCCTTCTCTAGTTTGGACATTTCATAGAAGGAAACCGTGCTTTTTGTTAATTATTCTGGAAAAACCAGTGAAGAATTATAAAAATCTCTGGTCAATTTTTCATCGTATTGTACATTCAAAGTCTGCATATGTTACTCATGTTAGCAATGCCTGAGTTTTCCATTCTTACATCAACATGATAACTTTGCCAATCCAAATCCTCTGTTTTTAATTAATAGACGGTGACCATTTCTGCATATGGAAAGCCTTTTCAATTTGGTATTTGAAAATACTTTCACACGGGGGTGGTGACTTAATCTTGAAATTACCCGTAAATTGGTTCCATGGTAGCTCAAGAACCTACAGCTTGTCCAATGGGATATAGAACGGCAGCCTTTTCATTTGGTCAGATATGAAGTGTTAGAATTGAAACTCAATATGTACTAAATTATTTTTACTTCAGCTGTCATCTGTAGAACTTGATGCAAGATCAACACCTTATACGTAGTTGATGTTCATATAGATAGCTGAGAGTCCTGAAGACGAGTTTTGAATGGAATTATACATGCTGGATGGATGAAAGTCATTAAGATTATAAAGCTAGAGCACATATGCTTTCTTATTAATTAGTAATAGTAACAAGCCATATTTAGAAGAGTAGTGTGGGATACAACACCGGTGTAAGCTAGACAGGCAATTTATTGATATAAGCATCTATTTAGTAATGGGGATTGGTTTATTGATAACATAGGACCTGGCTAGCAAAAGCTAGTTGTAGTAGATAAGGCATGCATGTTGGTGTGGTGACTGGTGAGCCTAGTCCCTGTAGGTCTTCCACTTGTACAACTTGGTCCTCCTGGGGTTACCATATCGGTCAGCCTCGGCATCATATCGGTCAGCCTCCTCATAGACGACTTCAGTGTTGCCATAGTTGTCAGCTCGCTTATACTCTACAACCTCAACCCTCTCTCTTTCATTTGGGGGGTCGTGGTGGTGGTGGTGGTGAGGTCCCTCGTCTTCCTCGTAGACGACCGTCTTGTTGAAGGCCGCGTAGGCGTTTGGGTACCTGGGGACATCAGTGAGAACACTGGGAGTCCTGTGCACATGTGAAATGTGGTTGTGGTAGTCACGAGAGTTCAACATTTTTGCTATGCGATCGATCTCTATGAATCACAGAGCACAAGCCACGATTAAGAAGCTGCCAAGGCAGGGTGATACTTATAGGCAGGTATGAGCTGTGGGGTATTTAATTTGCTTAAGGTGTAATTGGATTTATTCTCCTCAAATGGATGGGATTGAGATTGAATCTAATTCCCTTGGGCTTTGGTCACTTTCACACAGTAGATTCCACCTGAAATCTGGAAAATGGTGGATTCCATTTTCACTGAGAGTGATGAACACAGGTAAGAGCAGCGGCGGTGATAAGGACGCAGAGAATAGAGGAGGGTACATTAGTTTGGGTCGCAGAAGTAACATGTTCCTCCACTGATGCCGACATCCCTTCAAAATTTATTCTTTCCGCAATTTGCATGTCATTTTCCACACAACTCATACTAACACCAAGTATTACGAATACATTAGATTTTCAAATCTCTGAAAAGTCTACATGTATGATCTCTAACTGTTATCCAAGTAAGAATAAGAATAATAATAATAATAATCTATAACTGTTAGTTATGAATAACCTCATATATGTCAATAGAGTTGTAAATAAGATCAGTGAGGCTTTTAAGAACTCAAACTCATAAATTTACATATTTTAAATTGATCATATCTTTTAAGTTAGGCCCTATTGACATGACTCAAGACTTGGCCTAGAAGACGTCAAATTTTTTTAATTTAAATTTCTAATTTTGCAAATACATAATTTAACAAATTGTTCCATTTCATATATTAATTTCAAGAATAAAATAAACCAAACAATTTCAATTATGCTATTTTGCTATATCAATAATCTTCAAAAAAAAATCAATAATTTCGACTAAATGAAGCTACAGAAATAGAGTAAGTTGAAGTGAGGTGACTGACGGATTAACAAACATAGTGAGTAATGATATCTACATATTAACTGAATAAATATTATATGGTCTTAAAGGCCAACCTTGGTTTGAGCTCAAATTTCTGTTTAACAAGCTTGTAAGGGTACGTCTAAAAATTCATTTACAAAAAATTAACATTTTTCCAAGGTCAGAAATTTAAAATGTTAGACTATACCGGTAGCTTGACGGCTTAGCTTGTATTGATGGCTCTAATATCATGTGAAATATGAGAATAACATGATGATATTTAGTGACAACCCATAGATTCTAAAATTGTAGCCATAGGATTAGCCTAGCATATGAGGTGGATAAGAGACAAACGAATCATTATCCGCAAAATGTGATTAAAGGGTTGCCACGGAATTTTGTTTTAAATCACAACCACGAAACACTTTTTTAATTGAAATTAAATTAAATTATCTTTGAGATTGGAATTATTTTCTGAATTTATTCTTACTTTTACTGGTTTATAACGAATAAACATTAACCCTTTAGAAAAGATCACATCAGTTCACATTTTACTCCTTCGAGAACCGATCTTATCAGTTGCCAAGGATCTAACAATATAAGACACATAACTTGCCACTTGCAAGTTAAACAAACTCCCCCTTTTTTTTAATAACATTAAATTTATATGAGTTGAGTCACATGTATACATATTTACAGGACTATATTTCAAGCCTATACTTATTTCTAGATTCAAATAACATTGATAAAACTTTAGTCATTAACCTTAGTCAATTCAATTGTATAATTTTAAAATGTAAATAACAATAAATCTTTAAGAAAATCCCGTTAGTTACATAAAAAATTTATTTAGAATTGCTCGTGATTGAACAATAAATATCAGGCGTGCCAGAGACGCTGGGTCTCAATAGATAACAAAAGGGGTCTTGAGTTTTCTTACCGCAGTTTGCTCGGATGTGAAAAGATAGTATGCTTTGGTAAAACAAGCGTGTAATTTAATTGAAGTGTTTGAAAATTACAGACTAAAAAATAAGAACTACAAAGGACTAGTAAATATAAATTATGCAAGTTTTGATCGAGTGTTGATTGAATTTCTCTATTTTTCTTCTTTCTATTTATAGTGTCTCATAACAGAAGCCTTTTCTTTGAAACTTAACACGTTCTACCGAAAAATCAAGAATCCCGCAAAACTTATGGCACGGTCTCTCCATTTTGATAAGCAGCCCATTTCACCGAACTACTTGGGCGTAGATTTTAGCATTACGTAGGATTATGTCTTTGTGCTAACGGTCTGATATTTGAAGCTGACAGGATTTCGACATGTTTATTTGTTGTGAACTTTATTGAGTTTTGAGGTCGGCCTCCTTTGTTTATATTGGGTTTGACATTTCGATTGCTCAACCCAACTAGTCTCGTGACCTATTTGAGTGACATTTCATATTTAGCCCAAACAATGCCCCCCGTGTGCCAATGGCTGGTAACATAAATCATGTGGCATGTTTGAAAAAAATATAAACGTCGCTTCATTTCTGAGCCCCCTTTGTCGATATAAACTTGTTTGCAGATTCTGGTTACTTTTCTTGCTTTCTTTGCCATTTCTTGAACTTTAAGTCTTCAGTCTGCTAAAATTTCTCCTACCCTAACTCTCAAATGGCTTCGTCTACTTTTGCTGTTTCTTCTACCGCAACACCCTCTTCTATTTTCGTTGGTAGTTTTCTGGATTCTCTGGTGACTATCCGGAACCTAGTAAACCCACTAGGCAGGCTCGTAATGGTATGTATTTCATGGTCTGAAAGACCCTTTTTTCCTTTAGACTGGTTTTCTATTCTCATAATCGTTCATTTCTTTTCAAGAGGGTTCGTTATTCCACGCATCACTAGCTTTTTGATAAGTTTCTCACTTCTCGTGTTTAGCCCTTCTATTTTATTGAAAAGTGCTCTAACTGTTCTTCCTTTTTGTCCAGCACTTTGCCTTGGAGTTTCCAAATCTCCAACAAAAGCGACATCGGGTATCTGACGATTTCTCCTGACCTGTCCGACGTCATCGCTCCCACGCAACTGAATCCATGGCCACTGACCTCTCTTTATAACCTGGTGTTGGCCCAGACGACCTCGACCTTCCCTAAGTCATCCTGCAGAAAACTCAAGAACTGACCCCAGTCTCCTTGTGCCTAGGTCAACTGGGTGAGGCATTTAAAGTCAGATCATACACCTCTGTGGAAGGAGATGGGTCTATACTACCTAATTTTGGCTGCCTCTAGCTGACATTGGCATCCCCGTAGACCTTCTCACATCCTTTCTTAGTGTCTGGGCTCCAAGCTACAATGCCTTTATCTTCGAGCTTAGCCAGATGTCCCTCACATTATAGGACGTCTTCATGTTCTTGAGGCTGCCCATCATCGGGGAGGAGAACTTCTACGCAATCCCCGAGAAGCACGACTCCTATACCACCATTTTTGCTGATTTGGAAAACAAGATCAGGGGCACGGGCTCCTATACAAAGATTATGGAGCTATTCTCCAAGAAGCCAGCCACTGAGCCCATCACTACCATAGAGCACCTGATCTTCATCTGGATCTTACTAAGCTAATGGATCTTGGCCCCGAGGGGAGGGAAGCTCGTGCAGCTACATCTAAGGATCGCCCAGTCCCTACTTTGCGACAATCAAATAGCCTTGGGGACTATGTTTCTATGCCGTCTCTATGACAGCATGAGGGAGTCGCTGATCAAGAAGCCCTTCAACAACTTTATTGGGCCCATCTGGTTTTTAAAGTTGTGAACAACAGCCTACTTTCCCAACCTTCAACGAGAGCCCTTCCCTGATGATAAGTGTTCAGCTGCTCCAGCATCGGGCGATAAGTGTTCTGATCCTACATGCGTAGAGATCCCTTCTGGTTCGTGAGAACTAGCACCTGTTTTATCAGTCCTTTTGTCTTTTCGCGTCCTTACCATCTTTGTTTACACAGGTCCCACCGAGCGTGCCACAAAATTGTTCGTGATTGAACAATAAATATCAGGCATGCCAGAGATGCTGGGTCTCAATAGATAACGAAAAGGGTCCCAAGTTCCCTTACCACAGTGCGCTCGGATGTAAAAAGACAGCAGGTTTTGGTAAAACAAGCGTGTAATTTAATTAAAGTATTTGAAAATTACAGACTAAAAAATAAGAACTAAAAAGGACTAGTAAATATAAATTATGCAAGTTTTGATCGAGTGTTGATTGAATTTCTTTGTTTTTCTTCTTTCTATTTATAGTGTCTCATAACAGAAACCTTTTCTTTGAGACTTAACACGTTCTACCGAAGAATCAAGAATCCCGCAAAACTTATGACACGATCTCTCCATTTTGATAAGCAATCCATTTCACCGAACTACTTGGGCGTAGATTTCGACATTATTTAGGATCGTCTCTTTGTGCTAATAGTCTAATATTTGAAACTGATGGAATTTTGACATATTTATTTATTATGGACTTTATAGAACTTTGGGACCGGCCTCTTTTATTTATATTGGGCTTGACGTTTTGATTACTCAGCCCAACTAGTTTCGTGACCTATTTGAGTGGTGTTTCATATTTAATCCAAACAAGAATATATATATGTGTTTCTCTTTTCATATATTTTTAATCTTGCTATGCAAAAACAAGTTTTTCTTGAAAGCCAAATTATTGAATTGCTTTTAATTATCAGAGTAATAACAAAATAATTGTACAAATTAATCATATGAATTATATAAATGACTTTTATCACTGTCGACTCTTAAAACAAAAAACAAAAATAAGAGTGAATGTCGGCCATGTGACATTACCTTGCATGACAATATTACACAGAATGGAGCAGAAAACGATGTCGTTGAGCGAAGTTCTATTCCGCAGACGTTTTCTTGCTGCCATTCACGGCTAACGAGTAACAACTGCCAAACGCATAATGGCGGCGATTCCAGGATATCTGGTTCCCGCCAAAACCATAACTTGCACAACCACCATCCCCCAATTCGCTGAAAACCCTAAATCCACAATCCTTCAGAAATGCAGGAGCCGCAGGGACCTCAACCAAATCCATGCCCATCTCATCAAAACCCGCCTCATCTTCAACCCTTCCCTCACCGAAAACCTCCTCGAATCCGCCGCCATTATTCTTCCCAACGCTTTGGACTACGCGCTCTCCATTTTTCGCAAAATCGAGGAACCCAAATCTTCCGCTTACAATGTCATTATCAGAGCCCTCACCTACCAGCAATCCCCTGACGAAGCCCTTCTTTTGTTCAAGCAAATGTGTGCCAGCGCGGTACATCCCGATGAGTTCACTTTCTCCAGTGTCTTCAAAGCTTGCTCCAAATTCAGAGGATTGGTCGAAGGCCAACAGATTCATGCCCATGTTGTGAAACGTGGGTTACAGTCGTATGGGTTTGTCGAGAATACGCTCATTCATATGTACGCAATATGTTCCGACATCCAGGTTGCTCGGATGGTGTTCGATGGAATGCCTGAACGAGATCTTGTTGCTTGGAATGCAATGTTAGCTGGGTATGCAAAGAACGGATGCTGGGAGGAGATTGTGAGCTTGTTTCTTAAGATGCTGGAAATGAATGTCGGGTTTGATGAGGTGACGATGATTACTGCTTTAACGGCGTGTGGTAGAGTAGCTAATCTGGATTTGGGAGAGTGGATTGCTCAATATATTGAGGCAAATGGACTGAAGGGGAATACTAATTTGATAACTTCGCTTCTTGATATGTACGCAAAATGTGGTCAGGTGGACGCAGCTAGAATACTGTTTGATCAAATGAAGCAGAAAGATGTTGTTGCATGGAGTGCCATGATATATGGGTACGGTCAGGCAAATAGATGCTATGAGGCTCTTGCTTTGTTTAATGAGATGCAAAAAGCTAATGTCGATCCTAACGAGGTTACTATGGTTAGTGTGCTTTACTCTTGCGGGGTTCTTGGAGCTCTGGAGACTGGTAAATGGGTTCATTTCTATATCAAGAAAAAGAAACTGAAGCTCACTGTCACTCTTGGGACTGCTCTCATAGACTTCTATGCAAAATGTGGGCTAATAGACAGTGCTGTTGAAGTTTTTGAAAAAATGACGACCAAAAGTATCATCTCCTGGACAGCGATTATCCAAGGGCTAGCTAGTAATGGCGAGGGAAGAAGAGCTCTTGAGTTTTTCCAATTGATGCAGCAAGCAAAAGTTAAACCAAATGATGTGACTTTTATCGGCGTTCTTTCTGCCTGTAGTCACGTGGGTCTAGTCGAGGAAGGTCGAACACTATTCCTCAGTATGAACAAGGATTATGGAATTGAACCAAGGATAGAACATTATGGTTGTATGGTTGATATTCTTGGTCGCGCGGGTTTACTGGATGAGGCATTTCAGTTTATGAAAAACATGCCTTTGGAACCAAATGTAATAGTTTGGAGAACACTTTTGGCTTCTTGTAGAGCGCATAAAAATGTTCCAATCGGTGAAGAATCATTTAGACAGATAGTGCAATTGGAGCCGGCTCATAGTGGGGATTATATACTTCTATCCACCATATATGCTCTAGCGGGAAGGAGTGAGGATGCTTTGAAAGTGAGGTCTCAGATGAGAGAAATGGGAATTAAGAAATCACCTGGTTGTAGCTTGATTGAACTGCAAGGGGTAGTTCATGAGTTCTTTTCTGAAGACGATGAACATTCTCATTCAAAAGAGATATACAGAGCAACTGACGATATGATCAAAAGGATTAAGTTAGCTGGATATGAGCCGAACATGGGCGATGCAAGGATAGATGCAGAGGAGGAAGCTAGAGAAACTTCTTTGTCTCACCATAGCGAGAAGCTGGCTATTGCATTTGGTCTTGTCAATACTAAGCCGGGTTCTACAATTAGAATATCAAAAAATCTTAGAATTTGTACCGATTGCCACAATGCTATGAAGATAATATCAAAGGTGTATAACAGAGAAGTCGTTATCAGAGATAGGAATCGTTTCCATCATTTCCGGGGGGGATCATGTTCCTGCAATGATTACTGGTAAACTCAAAGCACCTTCATAGTCACGATCAAGATGATGAATAATGCAGGCCAAATTTTCGTTGGTTCTAGATTGGGGGCTAGAAAGGGGTTTACTTAGGCTGTTCTTGTCCTGCCTGTAATTGTTAAAAGAAGCCCCAATTGGACTGCTTCCTAGTTACTTCTTTAGATGCATGTTAATTTTAGTTCAGTTTCTCCATTCGTTCCTTGGTTGGCGATTTATCTCTTCAGTGAGCATAATCATTACATGCTGATTTGTTCTACACTCCAACCAGTTTTAATTTCAGAGAAGTCTTCATTTGGAAAGATACAAAGCTTCCACTTGCGAGGAGAAAAGCATCACACATTTAAGATGAATGAATAATCCTTCATTTGGTCTTCACAATCTCGGTGTGACAAAATAAGCCTACAGTGGGTCAGCTCTAAAACATAAAACGCTAGCAGATGCTACCTTGTCTGGATCTTCAGCTATGGCCCATAAAGTGAATACTGAAACGAAAGTGAACATCAAACATGGGTATCCAGAATTCTCCTTGACTCCTCTTAATATGTTTTATTTGCTACTGCTATGCACCCATGCGAAAAAGAAAACTGAAAACGAAAGAAATGTCTCCTAAGATCTACGATTCAAGGATTATGTTAGACAACTCATGCTATTCAGTGTTTGACTCAAACATCCCATATGATCTTATTCCTATTGATTGGCTGCTGTTGAAAAGTCGATATCTTAGTGGCTACATTGACACCCTGCAACACTTCAATTAGCTTTCGGATGGTTAGAGTCCTCATACCAATCATGAGCCACCAAACTAAACGCAAATGACATGCAAAAGTGGGATGGCGAATCATCTCTCAAGAGGGAATCACCCTACCTGAGTATTCTATTGGACAACTCATACTACTCAACGTAAAACTTAAAGCATCATGTTACTTTGATCTCGTGGCATCAAGAATGCTCCCCACCGTGACAGAATGTGCAGAGCACAATGTTACCACCATACGAGTTATAATTTAGCGCTAGATGGAACTCTTGCTACATTGCTACATGATTACGCTAATTGGTATGATTGAAATCCTACATGAGACGAAATGCACGGCAGGGATAAAAGAGAACTGATTTTCACTCGAACTGTAAAGGTATCGATCTGGACATTTCACCAATCTCCAAAAGCATTGGTTGATTTCTCCCTTGAAATGCACGGTAGCGGACTAGACTCTTACCTAACCACATTTTTATCTATTATTCTCCCTTGATTTCTCCCTTGAAGACGATCTATCTTCTTATTCAATTATTAAAAGCATTGGTTGAAGCAACAAAGAAAGCCATTAGGCTTAATTTCCTCCTTTCCTCTAGGAGTATCCCCAGCGTTGTCACATTCAGCCATCAAAGAACTCGTGCCAGGGGACTCTGGTGAGAAGATGGTATTCTCAGAAGTGAAGATTCTTGAAGGAATCACCGGTTTAGGAGGTGAAACCGTGTAAAGATAACTGAGCAGCATTTGGATTATCTGGGTGAAGTTGGGCCGGGCATTTGGGTCTTCTTGCCAGCATGAAGTTAAAATCACAGCCAATTCTTCAGGGAGATTCTCTGCACTGGGTCTTACATTCTGAAAACACAAGGAGTAATTCAAATTATTAGGCAAATAAATTATAAAAAGTATACAAGGGGCTTAGGAAAACGATATTAGATGAGAACATCTACAGAATAAAGCAGATGAAATTTACTTTAAAGGCTGCCGCATAAGCTGCCTGGAGGTTTGACATGCCTTCAAAGGGTACTTTGTTATGTAAGAGCTCCCACAGCACAATTGCAAAGCTATAGGCATCCACTTTATGGTTGTAATGCTTCTTCTCTCCCTGCTTCAGTGTGACAGTGCTATACAACTGCAATTTTCAATCGATGTCATCACTCCATACGCCAGTCTCCACCTCTCCATACATAATCACCGTTCAAATAAGAAGATAAATGCAGAGAAAGGACATCCATTCCATAATAGAGTACCTCGGGAGCCATCCAACGGTAAGTTCCTGTTTCAGCAGTCATCATCTCTGTTAGTGACTCCTCTCTAGCTAATCCAAAATCTGCTAGCTTGACTGTTTTCTGGTCTTCAGTCAAGAGTAAGTTTTCTGCATACAAAAAAGATTAAGGAATATTTTCATTATGTATATGATTTATGTTTCAACAAGTCATAAAATTAATATGAGCAAGGTTCAGTACTGCAGAGCTCATAGCAGAACATAGATACAATTGTTCATCTTGTTACGCTGTGACTGCTTAGATAATTGAGTTGTTTAGAGAATGTTAAAAGAATGGTTTATCATACATGAAGTTTTCCTAAAATTGGTACCTCATAAAAAGGTTGATTACACCTCCTCCCTTAACAGAAAGCTATAGTTCATGAATATCATACTCCATCAATGCGTTCATGATAGTTTAGTGAAACCGTTGGATTAACTTTGAATCATTAATCAACAGCCAAGGGGGAGGGAATAGAATGTCTTACCAACCACTGCTAGTTCATTTTATTGGAATTGTAACGATAATCTGAATCCTTCCATGATAGAAATGATGTGGTAAATATATGATATGATGATGCTAATTCTACAGAGAGATAATAATATAAAGGAGAAAAGAGAACAAATTCATACAGTTCTATATCACATATTGCACTAATTAATCGATTTTAACTCTATTTGATGTTTCTTTTTAATTCGCCATCAATTCTATTTGATGTATTCAGTCTTAGATGGCAAATCTGCTTGCATATGCAATTAACAATTTGTTAATCCAGTTGTATATGAATATATAAAAAAAACATGACCCTCCAGAGCTATTTCATGTTCTTCCTTCACTGCTCTGCAAGATGAAAAAGCCATCTAAGAGATAACTCGTAAAATATATTGTTAACTAAGGATTTAAATTCTATTGTCAATGTGAATGCAACTTTGCAACCATAAGAACCGTTTAATTACAATTGCAAATAAGTAACCTGAACCTTGAAAGCGTGAAGAGATTTACAGGTAGAAGGTGGTAGCATCTTACCCCACCAGAAATGGGAGGTTGGGAAGATAGTAATTTGAAACCAAATTGCATATCTTAATACTTCCATAGTTTTTGCAGTTTGTCCATTACTTGCATAGAAATTTTACGAGATCATAACATGGATAATAGTGAAATTATGACTTTTCATAAAGAAGACTCCTATCAGAGAAGTTAGTGCACTGTTAACATAAGTTGCAACTACAATAGCATGCGAACTAAACTTATCAGTCTGATGTAAAAGCAGTGATTTATTGCAGAAAGAAAGTCAAAGAAATTATACCAGGTTTCAGGTCACGATGAATGATCCCGTGAGAGTGCAGGCACTCCATGGCACGAGCAATATCAAGGGCAAAACCAATAGCAACATGTATGTCCAAGCACTTTGGTCGCATGTTAAGCAAATACTTACGCAATGTTCCTCCCAGTAAGATTTCAGTGACTATCACCATTGTAGGCTCCTTGCAGGTGCCAATAAACTGTTAATAAACACGGCGACAGCTTTTACTATCAGTTGTTGACTTAAAAGTAGTCGTTGTTAAATGATAATTTATCTATTGTTGCTTCACTGATGAGTAATTGGCACAAAGGACAAGAATCAGGGAGAGCCTAGACCTAAGTCCAACCTTCACCAAGTTCTTGTGTTGAACTCTAGACAACATTGCAACCTCCCTAGCAAATCTCGCTTCCCTCTTGGCTACTTCTTCTGCAGTTTCCCCTTTATGCAAAATTTTAATTGCAACTGTCTGGTTTTTGTATCTGAAACGAAACCAACAAAACAATTAAGTAGGGTAGCATATCTGCAACTTAAACTAAATCCAATACTGAAGCAGTTAAAGAAAATCCCAAATCTCACAGAAGAAGCTGCTGCGACCACTTCTATCAAGAAAAGAAGCTGAAATTATGTTCAACCTTCAAAATCACTACTTCATCTGAAGCCTAAGGAATGAAATGCATTACATGGAATGAGGGCTTAAGTAATCAAACAGTGGACAATAATTGATTTGCTGACACCCAACAAGCAAGTATCAGTGATCATCAAGATGGAATTTGTAAACTCTGCGGAACAAATGAGATATTGAATTTCGAAAAAAAAAAAAACAAACAAACAAACTTACTTGCCCTCGTAGACTTTGCCATGAGCTCCCTCTCCAATTCTGGGCCCGACATATAGAAGCTTAGGATCAATTAGCCACTTCGGGTCCAATCTAAGCTCATCTCCAGAATGGAACCCAACTCCAGATTCCATTTTTGATATAACGGGAAAATAAAAAATACTCAAGACATGCATCAACCAGAAAACTCCAGCAGCCACCGTCAGAAGAGAACCCTAAAGGGACACCATTGGAGGTCTGATTAGCATGGCAAATGGAATTGCTGACATGAAACAGGGAACTAAACAAGACATGCTCTGGAGTGTGCTGTTCTGCAGCTCAGAATCAGAACCACATCTCGAAAAGTGAGGCCCCTAGATCAATACTCATTGATGATTTGCATTTCCTTGGGGAGGCAAAAGCATGGAACCCACATGCTTGAAAGAGAAAGGGAGAGAGAGAAGAAAGAGGGATGGCAACAAACGCAAGCAAAGCCCAAAGCCCAAAATGATTTCTTGAAAGTTCGCGGGGGCAAGGCAAAGAGAAGATGTGAAGGAATCTATCAAGTAAAAACGAAGTCTTTATAGCTATGGAATGTTACTACCCGCCACCAGAGAGCTTCAACTAAAGGCAATGATATTTATTTTAATGTTGTGATATTGTAATCATGTGTTTTTGCTTCGTCACGAATGCTTGGTCTGCAGACAGAATCATAAATAGGGAACTTGATAAAGAATTTAAAGGAAGGCAAAAGAGACTCTTTTGGGACGGAAGGGAGACACTTGGGAGGGAAGAGTAGCTTCAGAAGGCTGTGTGAGTCATTAAATAATCAAGGGCACGTGGAACCTGATCTTGTCAACATGTGACGACCCGCTATATAGGCAACATATTGAGAAAAAAAAAATAATACATATCTGACACCATCTTTCTCGTATTTTTGCTTATCTTTTAACTGTTCACTTAAAGTTTATTTGTGATTAAAGTAACCATTTATGTTATATGTGCATATATTTATCTTCTTTCCTTTGTTGGCCTCTTGCGTTTGTATACATCTTACTCTCTGCACGCACGTGTACCTGCGGATGCCATGGTCTCATTTTTACTTGCATCTAGCTGGAATTGCTCTCGTGCAGAGTCAACTAATCAATGAATGTTGAGAAATACACTTATCGCTCTTAAATATAATATCCAGTTGACAAATTATAGAGATCGTGAAATTTTTTTCTTCTTTTGAAAATCTATTCGCAATTAAATATTTTACAATGATAAAATTATTTATTAAGGATTGAGGAACAATCACTGAATAAGGGTGCATAGAATCTTTTATAAAACATTCTAAAATTTTAAATGAGGTATCATAAATAGAACAAATATTTTTTTAAAAAAATAGGCACTATATTTAAGGAGGGTGTGAGTGTTATGTCATACTCCTTGTATACTATAATATAAGACATCTTTTAAAAGTTTTATTTAGTTCAAGATGTAAAGTATTGCGTAACTTTTATTATTATTTTTACAATTATATCTTTACTTTATTTATTGCTCTTTTAAAAAAAATAATATATTAAAATTTTAATTATTATTATTAAAGCACTTATATAAAATATTTAATTAAATTAAAATTGAAAAAACATAATTTTTTTAATAAATTAAGGTTTCAACTTTCAATTAAAATTTGTTGAGAACCATAATTTAGTTACCAATTCAAAAGCAAATAGAGATGCAAATATTTGATCTCAAATTGATTGCTTGTTGAATCATTGATAATGTGGATTTCAGCTTTTTTGACAATACCTCACCCTTCTAAACCCATTTTCTAATCATTAATTACCAATTCAAAAGCAACTGCACTCGATTGTAAAAAGTTGTGTTAGTGACATAGCGGATATAGAGTCCTCTTTCTTACTTTTCCGTTTAATTTTGTTATCTATAGATTTGTTCAATCTTCTTTCTTACTCGAGCACTTGACTATGAATAGTAATTCAATTGTCAGGGTTAATTAACTCTAATAAAGTTCTTTTAGCTTTCCTTAAAATGATGAACTTCGAGTTGCATTTGATGCCAGGCACAAATTTGTGAGGGGATATTGACCTGGTTTTCAAGGCTAGACTCGGTTGCATTTGGCATCAATATAAAAAAAAAAAAACTTTGTTTAGTATAAAAAATAATAATATTTATTGTTTAATTTTTTTATTTAAGATGCAAATATCATTTTTACCCCTGAAAATATATTTTATTGTCAATTTATTTCACTCTAATTATAACAAGTCAATGTCACTTTTCCTTTTTATATTGAAGAGATTTTATCGTATAAACATCTTTTTTTTTAGATCAATCTCCAAAAACTTTAAATTTACACGTATTAAATTGAATTGAGAATTTAATTATTTAAGTAATGCGTCAGCTCTTTTCTTGAAAAACATCAAAATTGCATATTTTATGAAAAATATGCCCAGACCTCTTTTAAATTTTTGACTAACAAGCAAGATTTTAAAAACCAGACTGTAATTGAACCAGACTATATACTAATTTACGGTTCATTGGTTTAACCGTGGTTAAACAGTAGTTGAACAGATTGATATTAAATTAATATATTTTTAATTTATATATCATAATTAAATAATAAATACATTTAAATATGTCTTTTTTTAAAAAATATATTATAAATATTTTGTAATATGATTTACTATTGATGAATACATAATTAATATTAATTATAAATAAAGCTTTTGTTTAAAAATTAAGAAAGATATTGATAGAATAATAAATATTAGATATTTTTTGAAAATATGTTTAAGCTAAATTAAAAAGATCAAATTTAAACAAAAAATATACATAAATAATAGAAAGTGCAAAATTAAAAAAAATGTGCTGATATTAAAAAATATGTGTAAGTGCATAATATTCATTTGAGCCCAACGTCGTCTACGTGAAAAGGGCGAAGAGGCGTGCATGACTATAAAAAGGAGCGGAGCGCACACTGACAGACAAGCGGCCGAGCCGCATTTTTGCAAAAATCACAGCTCATGGCCCAAAGCTTTTAGTATTTTACTTTGGAAATTCTGGTTAGTTTTTTTAAATTTTTTTAATGTGATCCGGTTTTTTGAAGGAACAGATTCGATTTTCATTTGGTTTTACCGATTATTGATCGGTTTTACTGATTATTGATCAGTTCTATAATGATCGGTTTAAAAGGGTCGATCGAACAAGACTAATGGTCGGTTTTCGGTTTGAACGATTGAACTAATCGATGCGGTTTGGTTTTTAAAACCTTGCTAACAAGTTACAAGAGTTTTTAGGAGCTGTAGGCTTTATCATGCATTCTTTCATGTTATTATTTAACTGAGCTGCATCATAATAATGATCACTGGACTAATTCTTACAGCTACTTTGATACTAGGGCTGTGCAGAAAAACCTCAAACCCGGTCTGTTTGGTCCGACCCGGTGTGACCCGGTCCAACCCGGTCTTGAAAAATTCAACCCGAACAAAAGACTGGACTGAACGGGTCAGACTGCACATACGGGTCAGACCAGACTAGAGACTGCTCTTTCGGACCAATCAGTCCGGCCCGGTCTAGGTTATTTTTTTAATATTAAATATTAAATAATTATATTATTTACAAAAAAAAAAGATCTTACTTAGTTGAACCCAGTAACAATACCCTCACACCTCACGTGCATGCTTCAGACTCGGTCTCTGAACTCTGAAGTCTGATAGCCTCATTTGTCATTTCTCCATTTCTCCATATCGCATGAAAATATGATTATAGGATAATTTAGACAAAAATAAAATACAAGAGACAAAAAAAATGGAAATCTTACATTTATAATTAACACAAATCTCTAACTAGCTCTTTGACACTTGCAAGAATAAAAAAAATAGTAGTAATATTTATAGGTATTGAATAGTATGACACCTTTTTTGTACTTCATATAATACGCGAGAAAGATGATTATTTATACTCTAAAAAACTGAAAGAAACATAATTAATCTCATAACAAGGATCATGTGCAATTAAACAGTGCTTGCTTTGAAACTCAAACGGTAGTAAGCTTATGATATTGATACAAGTGAATAGGAAAGGGGATATGAGGACCTTTTTTTTTTAAGAGAGTTGGATTCAAGAAACTGGACTAGTCCAGTAACCCGGTGGACCAAGTCCAACCCGGTCCAGGTCCCGGGTCCGACAAGACTAGACCAGTCTTTGGACTGAAAATTCTAACCCGGTCTCCATTCAGACTAGACTTCGGGTTGACATCCAACCCGGTCCAGTCCGGTATTTGTGCAGCCCTATTTGATACATACAAATTAAAACTAAATTAATGAGACAACATAATTTTCTAATTTCGAAGCACACTTGTTATTGGGTTGGATATCATAATCATTTTAACTTGCACTCCAGCCCAGGACTCCTGTGGTAATGAGCTCAACCAAACATCCCCCTGTGTTCGGTTTTTACTTTCTCGTCCGAAAGCCCAAACTAATTTGCAAAGTGGGCTGTTAACCCAAAATTAAGTTTTGTAGAGTGGAAACTAGGTTTTGAAAACTGATAGCCATACACAATATGCCATTATCTGGACAACACAAGTTGGCTTAGATGATAAGAAATTTGAATTTCCTTAACTATCAGCTTTAGAAAAAATATGTTTGAAAGAGTCATTCCTTTTAGGGCCCCATAGTGTTCCAATTTGAAATAGTCGAGGCTGTTGATTTTAAATACCAAATGGTTATATCAAAATATATATATATATATATATTCAATTCTCTCTCCTGCCTCAGCTATATACCTCCATAACAAGGCCTTCACCCACCTCACTATAATTAAGAAAATATAATTAAGTTATTAATTTTATTTAAAAATAAAATGAATTTTTGATTTTATTCATATTTAAACAGAAAAATTTATACTTGCATCACATTTTCTTTGAATAGGGGTAATATTGAAAATTTTTTATTAATACCCCGTCCAATGAGATAATAATATTCATCAATGCCTTGTAGCAAGACTGGATTACAAATTTACAACAATGCATCTCCTGAAGGATAGTATAATTTGTGGAAACTTCAGGCTTGCGGGAAGGCATCATCTACTGCTGCCTACTGATAGTCTGGAACACCTGGGCCTCCTCCACAAAAATCCATTTCTGAACTTTGGTTGGGGACTGATTGTAACTGTTATTCATTGTTGGTTTTTTTTTTTTTTTTTTGCCTTTTGGATAGAGCTGGGCTTAAAGGCTGTATTTAAATAAATATTTGAGTTTTAAAAATTAATTTTTTTAAATAATAGGACTTAAAAGCCTGACCTTAATAAGCCCTATAAAAAAGAGCTTGGTCCGAGCAGCCCTTCAAATTCTGTTATATTATTATTAATTTTTTTTTAGTAGAATATACGTTTGAAACTAAAAAGAATATACTTGCTTGAAACCCTGATCCTACACACATTACATTATTATTAATTTTAATTTATTTTAAAATTAATTTAATATAATTTAATAAATATCAATGTATAATATAAAATTTTAAATATTTTTTTTATTTTTTTATAATTATTATGTTTGTGTATTTATAAATAATGAACTATTTTTTACTAAACTTTTAAATTTATATTATTTAATTTCTAAATGATTATGAGGATTTTAATTTTTGTTAATTTTAGAATATTTTAATTAATTTATAGTATTTAATTTTCTTTTAATTTTTGTTGGAATAAGACTTTCAAACTCGACCTTAAGTCTTTTAAATAAAAGCCATGCCTCAAAAAAGAGATGAAAAATTAAAAACTAAGTTAGGGATGAAACCCATAAAAATTGAATCCGTTCGTTTTTCAACTCTATTTCTAGATTTTTTGATGTTTCTGTGTTGTCCCTTTGTCTATTTATTTATTTTATCCTCCAAAATCACAGCACTCAAAGCATATATGACTGTAGACGTTGCTTAAACATTGGAACACAACCGCAATACACTAGACAATGTTAACTGATGCCTTCGCTACTTGAATTTCGTTTCGAGCGAATTCCATCTCTTCATTGATTACACATTAAAACATATATTGTAATGAAGATATATATAAAAACAACAACAGTAAAATAAAAAATAATAACAATCTCGTGCAAATTTTAGTTCTTCTTTTACCTCGGTGACGTCATCTGAGCGCGGCAAGCAAGCTGAGCAGAGCGGCACAAGCCACGACGAAGAAGCGCTTCCGCCGGAGTAAAGGAGGGACAAAGTACCTGGTCACTTCACCGGTGATGAGGCTGCCTCGTCGAACCAAAACACGGCGGCGATTGCCTGCAAAGGTTAGCAGCACCAATACTGTGACCCAAGCGACCATGGTGGCTCGGAACGCCATGATCGCCCATGCCAAGCCCATAAGGAGCGCCAGTCCCAGAATCAGATGCAGCGTGGACCATTGGAATTCAGATCTCCTAGAAGCGACAACGCAGAAGAGGGTCAAGGAAAGTAACGAGGTAAATGAAATGATGGTGGTCTTAGACATGCGAACCGTCATGGAGAAGGAAAGGGTGGGCTTGGTTTTGGAGAAGACAACGAAACCTTACGCTGCAGAAGGTAAATGAAACGAAGCCAATTATGAAGGAATTTGAGAACATGTGGAGCACATGGAGAGGCTGGTAAGGTGAGGTTATTCTAATGCCCACTCGCACAAAACTAATCTGATTATTAATTAATAATAAACATCTGAAAAAGGCAATCACACCTGAACGAGAGCATCCAGGTGACCTTGTCGAATCGCACTGTTTCGCCACCCACCAAAATTGAAGCCATTCAAGTGATCGTCCCAATGGCTAGACCTTAAGAGGAGCTAATCGCAGCGGCTTCTTAAATTTAATTATAATTCATGTTGAATTTTAACCGTTCCCCTCCCAGCCCCTAAAGACATCATTTTGGACCCATTTTGATGTACATGAAGTTGACATAAATGAAAACGCATTAAGTATAAATCAAATTAACGTTGTGAAACTACCAAGATTACTGATCCGGCACTTCCACTTGAAAAATACAGCTGAATTTGAGCATCCGATAATTTAAGACCCAAAAAAAAAAAAAAAAAAAAATCATCTGTTAGCCAGACAGGAATCGGTAGGACGAGACCGGCTTATTGGACCATCGCATTATAGCTGCTCATTAAGATAAGCCTGTTTGGGAGTTTTAGGAGACATGACATATTCTGCAACGTTCTCGGAGACGCTCTTCAACCAGGAGGTGCTTCGCGTTAACCACCCCATCTGGGATTGTTCTTGCATCGCAATCCTGTCCCTTTCTTCCTCGTTTAATATGTTCACCAACCTCGTTGTCATATAATTTCTCACGGTTTGAGCTCCTAGCCTTACCACCTCTTTTGGCGGCACTTCCAGAGGGTTCTGCTCCAAGTTGAGCTTCGTCAAATTCTCCAGGCGACCAAATGTATCAGGAAGTGCACTGATCTGATTGTTGCTAAGATCCAACTCCTTGAGGTTGATCAGGTCAGAAAATGTCGCAGGGAGTTCTTGAAGGTCGGCGAAATTACTGCTCAGGTCCAGAACCTCAAGATTAGTCAATCTTCCAAATGCACTCGGAAGTCCATTCAGCTCATTGAAATGCGCATCTAGATAGCGCAAGGATCTCATCTCACAAACAGATGAGGGAAGCGACCGAAGTTTGTTCAAATGAATCAACAGCTTCCGCAAGTTCTGTAATTCATATCCAATATTTGTAGGCAAATACCTGAGACTGTTGAAGCTAGCATCCAACTCCACCAATGACCTAATCATTGATGATACAGAATTAAACTTTCCAGAACAGAGGATTCTTCCAATCAGAGCAAAGAATTTATCGTGTGCTATATCAAAACAAGTATTTCTAGTTCGATCTTCGAAAATTTTCTTCATTCACATCTGTAAATTTTTCCGTCATCACTGCCGTTTTAAAACCGGGATTCATAAAATATGTTCACAATTGGAAAAAGTGACCAGAATTTAAAATGCCTGCAAGATGTAATCCTTGCTGCAATTTTCTGAAGTATTATGGCTTTCAATGAACTTTTGCAGCAATCAAAAGTCTCTGTCTTCTCAAGTTAACCACTTAAAGAAGCTTAACGAAGATACAAAAAATGCTGCTCTTGTGAATTTCTATGTAGTAATTTTGTTTTTCTCACATACCTGCACTGAGAGATGGAGTCAGGAAAGGCGCTCAGTTTGTTTCCCGAGACATTCAGGATTTTCAACTTTTGCAGCAAGCCAATTGAATCAGGAAGTGTTTCCAAATGATTTGTAGATACGTTAAGCTCCTCAAGATTTTGCAATCCAGCTACCGCGTCAGGAATCGCCTGTTATGTTACACAGGATGCTCGCACGTAAAAATCATGAGAGAGGAAGTAAACTAGTAAAAACAAACTTAGACCATGCCTTTGAACATATCAAGAAGCCTTTACATTCAAAAAAAAAAAATGAAAGCTTTCATGACTAAATAACTACTGTAATCACACAGTTCAAGCTGATTCCCCTTGAGATTTTATATTTTTATATCTTTCCTTTTGCTCACTTTTACTTGTTAAGACTCCGACGCAAAGAAATCAGAATGTGCTATAGAGAGATGAGATATCTAAATTAAACTCTTGATGGGTGCGAAAATCAGTATCAGCGTCAGAATGCGAGTTCTCATAAGAAATTTAATATGACTTAAGTGAAATCTAAATGCGCCTACCGTCAGCTGATTGTTTGAAACATCAAGCACCACCAACCCAGAAATCCGCCAAAAGGCCTCGGGAAGAAGCCTCAGGCCGCGATTCGAAAGATCAATTCGCTCTATCCCTTGTCCATAGGTCTTTTGCAGAATCCCGACAACCTCTTCGTTGACCTCCTCCGTCTCCGCCTTGTCTTCCTCGGGATCTGGTACCCCGTCGGCGGAATTGTAAATCGACTCCAATCTTTTCTCTGCATCCTTGAGCAATTTCTCATACGCATCGTGCATTTCGTCCAATTGTATCACTGCTTTGTACACTCGCTTCTCATCCTCCGCTAATTTCCTGCACTCCTTCTCTTTCTCGGCCTGCTGACTCCGCCATTGATGGGTGTCGAGATGAGGAGGCTTAGGAGATAGCACGATCTCCTCTAGCTGCCTGGACAAATGGGCATCCAAATCGGCGAGTTTAGCCTTGGCATTGTCGACTGATTCGTGGTCAGGTCGGTCGCCAAGGACTCTGATCATGGATCGGGTCTGAGCGACGTCGTAGATGGTGCGGGCAATGGAAGCCAACAGTTTTGGGTCAGTGATTCGGGGCATCTGAGCAACAAGTTCAGGATTTTTGATACTGGAAGAGGATGAGGAAGAAGGATCGGAGGGTGGAGGGAAGCGGGGCTGTTCGATGTCGTAGAGCTCAGAATTGGAAGAGGTGGTGGGAGCGAGAGGAGGGAGACGGGACATGAAGGAGGAGAGGAGAGGGAAGCTTCCAGGGTTGGGATCCATGGCTGATGGCGGAGGCGGCTGCGGCGGCGGCTAGCTCTGTGACTGGGAGGAGTGGGAGCGATAAACGGTGATGGTTGTGAAGTGTTGTGAATGTATGGGCTTTACAGTATTGCTTTGAGAATATCGGTTTCTACTTTCTTGTTATGTGACGACGGGGTTCGGCTTGGTGATAGCTTTGCTCCTAAGCTGTGAGCGGCTCTCGCGGGGATTCTTCTAACTGAATAACGGAATTTCATGCAACTAACCTCCCACGTGTCACCACTACACCCAACGTCACAGTTAAAACTGTTACGACTGTCATCGCCTCTAATTCTCACCATAAGGAACAATTTCTCCTTTGAATAACAAAACAGCAATTAAATGAATTGTAATTGACTAATTTTTTTAGATTCACTGAAAATAGTAATAATAATAAATTTAAAGACAGAGCTCCATTTGGTAATTAGTCATTGAACAATGATAATAATAAATTTCAAGACAGATTTTCACTTGGTCATTACATTATTACACTCCCTCCGTTTTATAGTTATAAGAAAAATCATCACTTTTAATTTTTTTAATATCAGTAAAATCATATTTTTTAATAAGCATTTATTGAAAATTTTTTAAAATATCATCCATAATTTTATCATTTATAGTCATAAAAAATAATTAATGAAAGTTTGATTAACATAATTAATGAAAGATATTGTAGTTCAATTTTTTTATTTTTAGACATAATTACTATAGTTAATTAATTTTTTTAAATTATGTGATACAATTTTTTTTCTACAAATATAAAAGGAAGAGTACTAACTTCCAAAACAAGCTATTAGTTTAAAAAAAAAAATAAAAGTCCTTTACAATTGAGTTCAATTTTAAAAAAGAAACTTAGAGATATGACAATAAAATCCTACCAAAATATATAAATCCCATAAAATGTCATAATTCCTTTATATTTTGATATTAATGATTTTAAATTAAATAATTAAAATTATCCCTTGCTTAAAATAAAAAATTATGAGTCTAATTCCATTTTTTTTAATTACAAATTTTATTAAAGCAATCACAATTTTTATTTTGTGAATCACAAAAATTAAATAAAAAATCACAACTTTTCACATGAATTTTTTTTAATGAAATAACCAATTACAACTTTTATTTAAATAATCACAATTTTTATTATGTGAATTACAAAAATTGAACAAAAAATTACAACTCCTCATGTGAACCTTTTTTTTAATTATAAAAAGAGGTAATTTAATTATTCAACCTAAAATCATTAATGTCAGAAAAATACTTGCAAACTTTAAAAAAATTATAACATTTTGAGAAATTTAATTATCATTTATATATTTTAATAAAATTTTATTGTGATTTTCCCAAGAAACTTCGTGAATATATTCCTTGATTCCTTCTGTGATGAGGTTGTGGAGGTGATATGACTAGCATGGAAAAATCAATGAACGAATGGGGGTAGGGTCCGATGAGATATCGATAATCAGATTTTGCCACTAGTTACGTCCCATTGCTGTTCAGTGCTTTATAATGCTCCAAAGCTATCAAGAATGTCACTGTAACTGGCATTTAAAAAACAAAAATCACGTTACTGTAACTGAACAGAAATGCCAGAAATGAGGATACATTTTGTTGTGTACAGAAAATAAAGAAAACAGTCACCCAGCTCACAGTTTGTACTGAGTGCTAGCTCAAGTCTTCAATGGATCTGTCCCTCTGAGACATGAACAAAACCTCTTTCTGAAGCATTTCAAATATTTCCTTCACTCGATTTGTAAACTTGGCCTCTATGTTTTGGTTGATCCTTTGCTGAAACTCGGAGCTTTTAAACCACATTATCTTAATGTAAGCTTCACACTTGCAAGCACAGTCATCGAAAGGACATTTCTCAATTTGGTATCTAAACTGAATCTGCAGGCAGCGAGGGAAAAAATCAGGAAGCGAAACTCCAGTCTTGGGATTGAACTAAATATTTCGAGACCAAACCAATCATGATGAGACAAGCGTATCAAACTAAATCTCACTGAAAAATGCACGTGAAATGTTGCGGTATTTTTTCTTCATAAGTTCAGTCTACCATAGAATTTTTCTGCAAGATATATATGATAAATGAGTTCTTAGTTTCACATACGCGGAAGTGATCAGCAAATGGAACACCGTGGAGGGCCATGACTTCGTTCACAATCCAACCTTCAGTGTTTTCAATGGGGACTTTTTGCTGTGTGCATGTGACATCACCACCGAAAACTGATACCTGGCGGTTGAATTTGTAAGAAACTCGCCTTTCAAAGCCGTCGGATTTTACAGATTCCCAGTTAGTTGTTGCATAATTAATGCTTCCAGTTCTCCGCATAATCTTATGTTCCAAGTCTCTTCCATCAAACAGTTCCATCAATGATCCCATCTACAAGAGTAACACAACAAAGCCACCAAAACTTTGTGAATACATCGTAGACATGCATCATAAGGGGAATAACTACACACTCATCTAGTTGGAAGAAATATGCTAGTTTTGGAGTCTGATGCTCTAGTTTAGTTTGTTCTGTTTTGTTTTTTTTTTCCTGGTGTATCAAAAAATATATATGTTGGATTTCAATGGGAAAGAGCAAGACAACATTCTGCGGTAGTCAAATATACAAAGAACAGGTAGAGCAACTAAATTATAAAATATATGTAAGCTCGTCAAAATTGGCCTATCTCTAAAAGCTGTGGCTAACATGCTTACGATTATTCATATGGTTTTCTTGATCTGGTCAACCTGAGGATTTTGTGAGCAAAGAAACTCAACAAATATGACAGCCTCCTTCATGCCAGATTCAATGGCTTGAATCAGGAGGAATTAGTTAAAATCTTCAGACGGCAATAAAACCTTTCAATGCTGGCTCAAAAGGCAGGAAAACTTGCAAGTGCATCAATGCTTAAGTTCGACTTTTTGAAATAAAGTGAACATGAAGTTTGTTTTTGGTCTCTAACCAAATTGTCTTGGTTTTTTATCCATGAAATCACATGAAAAGTGTTAGTCCTGTCAGGGGTACTAGCAATCACTAGCTTACCTTGATTGGAAATTCTGCTGAGTAAATCTTGGACATCTTTGCTTCCTCATCCAGCATAGATCCAAAGTCTTCAGGAATTACAAAGCCTTCTTCTTGATCCTCCTGCTCTTCTGCAAGTTGAGCTTTCAGATCAGGGTTCAATGTTCTTGTTCTCCACAAGGCCTTTATTGTCCTGATTTAAAACAAGGAGTTCTGTCAGGTGAAAGTAAATAAATTCCATCAATATAGTAGATCATACTGAGAATCTAAACACGCAAGACTACTACCTGGAGGCAACACCAAATGACACAAATGACTGGAAATGGAACCTAAGCCTGCCTTTCTCATCTTGAGTCTTTGCACCATGCCTAGCATCAAGCCCTCGATCCTTTCGCAGAATTATGACTAGTGTAGGGCTTCCTATCGATGCCACTGAAGGAGGGAGCACTTGGATGTCTTCAATATCTTCCCAGAGGAAGAAAAATTTGGTTTTCTGCCCAAAAAAATTGGCATAAAAACCCAGAATTCTTGCAGAAAGAAATAGACGACCCTGCAACAAAAAGGCACTATATGTTAAGGTTTTTGGAGTTCAATATCTCCACGCAGATTACAGTGAGTTCTTCATGTCATGGTATCCTATAATACTCTATTTTTTAAGAACTAACATAGTATCTTAAGTTTTAAACAAACATATCAACCATACGTGGTACCTGTAAAAGCAATTTTCTCTTAAGGTAGCATGTGAAATCACTGATTAGAAATTCTTCTGGAGGTAATCCGAACAATTTCTGGAATGTGGAATTTCTTTGAGGGGATCGAAGATTCAGCTGCCACCCACTTGTTAATGGTTAGATATACAGTTCTAAAATAGAAAAGAGAACAAGTTGGCAGTATAACATTGCTTATTTGGCCTACAGTTGGCAGCAGCATAACATTAAGGCCAGCAGAAAGAAATAATATTACAAGACAATTTTACAAAATGATTACATGCTAAGACTAAGAGAAGCATGTCAGAGGGAAAATTGGTAAATAAGTCATCCAGTTCTTAGTTTGTCACCTTTTTGCCAACTTCCCTTCCTTTCTTCATTAAATAACCCCTAATTGTTTCAACTCCTTTATTATTGTCCAAAAATATTCTCAAATGCAACTTTGATTGGGATGACTGGGCGAGCTTTCCTTCTAGGGGAACCCACATGTCTGCCAATTCAGTAGATGTGTGCTTCAAGAAATTGATTTCAGCATGTCCAAGGGAAACATCCTGGTCAAAGGGACCGTCAAAATCAAACACTTCCACATCTAGAAATGACGGTGGTTCTTCCATCGCATTAAACTCCAATATTTCTGCACATTCAATTAAAGATCAATAGAGATTACCAGTAAACATATATCTTTGTAAAAGATATATTAATGCAAATGAGTGCCAAATTTTTTTAAAAGAAAAGGTCTGCACCATTCCACTGAGGAGCTCCTGTTTGAAGCTTGACAGAGCTTGACCTTGTTTTACCATTGCAAGTGAAAACCACATAAGGGTCTGATAATCCTGATGACTCCAAGGATGCCAGATCAACCCCCTCAATTAATGCTACAGTCAGAACCCATCCATCGCCATGGGCTTTCAGACCATGATCACTTCCTGTCCAAATGGATGGAACTCATAATTGAACCCTAAGATGTAATCTAAAACTAAATGGCAAGCATATTAATTCTCGAAATGAAATTGAAGTGATATATGGGATAAGTGTCCAGCTTATGAGGCCGTTATGCTTACCCATTTGAAATCTAGCTTGTAAAAAGTGGAAGAGCATGTTGTAGACACGTTGCAGCTGGATGACTAAAATCCCACTCGTAATGAGCTCTCCAAAACTGTCTGGCAATTCTAGCCCTTTAAATTCCAAGCCTTGGGTTTCGTTTGGACCACAACGGAAGATATGCACCAACATATACAAAAGCATGACAATGGTGGAAACCACTGTGAAATTCCAAAAATATTTAATTGCCAACCGCCAATTGGACTGTTCTGTTTGCATAGTTGCCAAGACCTGCTCTTTGTTTGATAAATCTGAAGTATCTAGCTTCTTAAATTTCCGAGCAAGTAGGCTGGAGAACTGATCAAAACTCTCCTTCAATCCCTGACGAGCACCACCTTCTATCATACCTTTCATCATTGTGCTTTGCATGAAGACCATGCCCCAAGACACCAAAAGATGGGAGCATTTTTCTGTAGATTGCTCTTTCCTGGGCATTATCTTGTAAAGCAATTCAATCTTAAATGAATTCCCATATGGGACCTCGGGCGTGCTTACATTAACAAGTACAGCATATTCCTCTTTACTCGCCCTAACATAGGTTTGCTCCTCAGTGGCTTTAACTGCCTTAACTAACTTCGTGGCAGCTTTTGTATAGGAAACAACTCTTGTTAAGAAACACATATCTCCAGATTTCCATGTCCAGGGGCCCTCTTGAACATTTGTTGTTCCTTGCAGCTCTGCCAACTCTTTCCTGAACTGTGAATTGGGCGCAAAAAGAAATGCATTAAGATCACAAGGAGACACTACATAAATCTGATCTACTAGGATACCTCCAGGCAGATTTTCAGGCATTTCCAATTTATGATCTCTTGACTCCATTGATGCAATGGCTTCTTCAAAGCTACAAGGAGATGGATTATCTTGAACAATTTCTTCATTATCAGAAAATGAATTGGGTGGTTCTGAAGAATCATCTCCTCTTGAAGTTTCTTCTTTCTTACTGAAAACTTTGTCCAAACGATTAGCATATTTAGCAACAACCTTCAACAACTGTTTCCCTTCAGGCATTTTACAGCGAGGAACTTTGGGAACAAAAATGTCCTGAGATGAAATGCGTGGACCTGCTAGGTCTTTAGGGTCCTCCATAGCAACACCGAAACTTGGAGTATGTATATGATTGAGGAAAGAAGCATGCCCTCTACCACGAAGAGAAATGGTAAGAAGAATTTTCCCTGATTATACAAATAAATATTAGACGATACCTTAAAAATGGACAATGAACTGCCACTAAAAAAGCAGAGTGAAAATAGAAAAGGAGAACGCGAAAAAGAGAAGAGCGACACTAGTATATTAAACCATCCTTAATACACATTATATTACAGCTTTTCCATTTCAAAATGGAGTAAGGAGAAAGAATTGAACTTCGAAGCCATAAAAGAAAACAATAATCAATTACTCGAAACCCAGTGCACAAAAGACCAAATGTCGTCCTAGTTCTGTACCACACAATTTCCAATACTCATGAAACTATTCATAGAAAAATGTGACAAATTCATAAATCAGCCCACTGCATGTTTATCAGTAAATTTCAGTTTAAAATATTACAAAACAAGCATTACATCCTTCCAATAGATATTTTGACACAACATCATCCTGATCCACAACTTGTGCGATTTGCTCATTGTAAAAAAAGGACCATGAAATACAGTCTCACAGGATAATTTTAAGCAAAGACAGGGGAACAATTCAACAAACCGCAGTATATATTGACAAATTTCCCGCTCTTGGGGCATTCAAGAGAGAACCACGTAGGCGGCAAGGTCTGGTTATCCTCAGAGGCAACTGAGCCTACCGGAATCCGTACCTCGCCCAACAAATCGATACAACCATTGATGACTATGGATTCACCATCGTTATGATTGAAAACAGAAACAATAAGCTCGTCGTATGCGTCATGAACCCTGAAAACGAACTCTTCATACCAGGCAGGGGTGGAGGTGTGCCTCAGTATCCTACTCTTGGACTTCAACTTGCCCAGTCTAAGTTTCACGTAGGAATTCTTCACAGGCAAGTCTTTGGCTTCTAAAACACAAACGTAAAGCCTCAACATTGAAATAAAAATGTCGCCCATACACGCTGCAAAGCAGGGAATAATGCCAAAAGGAAAAAGGATCTCAATGGGGTTTACTGAAAAAGCAAGGGTTCGGTGGACGAAGGCGAGAGCGAGAGAATACGTGGAAGTGGAAGGAATAGTACACGAAGAGAGGCGGTTTTATTGAATTTTGTGATTGTGGGAAAAATGGGCCAAAGGATTACGCTAACTGGCGAGCATCGTAACTTGTGGAAGATGGTATGCTCGTGGTTTACTGGTTAGTACGTCAGCTTTAGATTTGCGAATGCTTTTAATTCTTAAACGGAACCTTTTTCTTCAAATGCGATAGTGTGGCTTGTACGTTTCGTTGTGGTGCCAGACGGTTTAACGAAAAAGAAACGGGAAGACACTGGAAATGAGAGAGAGGACTGTCTTTACCTTTTTTGAGTGTTTTCTACATTGGCATGTAATCCAGAGCTAACATGTTTGGCTGGCACTAAAGAACTTTTGAAGCAGGTGGTAGACTTCCAAGATGACGAAAGAATTACAATGTGAAATTAAAGGGAAAAGAGACGGTACAAGTTTACCCTGGCAAGTGGCAAGATTTTGATGCCTCTGAATGCATGATGAGTCATTTCTAATTTCTTGATTTTACAATTCTCTTCCCATTATTTTAATTAAATATCTAATATATTGTATATTAATAATAGCATCAATAAAAAAAATTAGCCAGCGTACCTCTTTAAAAGGGAAGGTTACAGCCTCAGTTCATTTATGGATGATTAAAAAAATTTAAAATTTAAAATTATAATTTTGTAAAAATATATTCAAACATTTGTATATGTTAAAATCAATTACAAACTTAAATTCATGATTTTTTACAAAGATATTTAAAAATATTTTCAATGAATATGGGTATATGTGAGGGTGTTTCTTAAGAGTTGTTTTTCACAAGCGAAGCAATAATGCTGGGCGCAGGATCTGTTATTCCACCATTAGATTGATTCGACACGAGGCGAGAAAATTATTTTTTTTAATCAAATATTAGATATGCATCGATTAAGTGTTTGTATTTGAAGATCATGAATAGTTATTTTTAGTTATTTCAAATAAAAAAAGCCAGCCTTTCTATCTATAAGATTCCTTATTTTGTTTTCTTTGGGAAATTATAAAATAATAGAATTGTAATTGAAATACATTTGATTGGAGAAGATAATGGAAGATCACAATAGAAATATTTTTATTATTATATCGAGTTATATATAATTATATATAAATAAAATTATAACAAAAATGATTTAGTGTCGAGTCAAGGTGCCTGTAGATTCTAGAGAAAAAATTCAGGAATAAAAGTGACTCTTGATCCTTTATAATATATTAAATGGTTATAATCCATCAAAACAAACTTATTTTAATTTTTTAAACTAACTTACGAACAATTACCATTACCAAATGCCAAAAGTTTATATTTTTCTTAAAAGGAGTCCATTTAAATAGACACATATATGCCCAAACGCAAGTTTGAAGCCGTGACCTCTTTTATAGAGAGGAATGAACGTGTCATCACACCTACAGTTATTAGCATATCTTCAATTTTTTCTTTTTTTCGTTAATAAAATATATATGGAGAGTAATTTATTAGTTTTAATTTTATCTTTATTATAAATTTAATTTTATGTCTCATAATTTGCCTGATATCTAATTATTAAAAAATTAAATTGAACTAGTCAAACTGTCAACCGATCAAATTAATAGCTCGATCAAATTGAAAAAATTATTTAAAAAATTGAGTTGGATTAAAACGTTTTGGACCAACTTTTGGATCAAAAATCAAGATCAAACTAGGAACTAAATTCAATTCTTAAAAACTAAACAACTCAAAAAATATCATTTTTTTATTTTTTAGATCATTTTTTAAGAAAATGATTATTTTTTTAATCATTTGATGTTATGTTGTAGTATCTAACTTTTAAATCATGATAAATTTAAAATATTTAATTTTATTTTTAAGTTAAATAATAATTTCATATTTATTTTTTATATTTAAATTATTATAATTTTTTAATTTAATTATTACTTACTAGTTTGACCACTTAGACCATATAAATCATGAACTGCTGGCCATTCTAATTCAATATTTGGTTTGAATCTAAAGACATCGGTTATATCTCTCTTTTCTTATTTTTAATAGGATAAAGATGAATTTTTTTATTTTAAAATATATTTAATGAATTAACTGTCATTTTTTAATTTTAATGAGGCAGTTGAAAACTCTTTATAATTTATAATAAGAATAAGTGGGATGATAACAAACGTATATATTTTATATATAAATATGAATATATTGTTGGCCAGAAAATATTAATATTTTTAACATGTTATAAAACAATTGGAGTTTTAAAAAATAATAAATTAATAATAACAATCCGTAGCCGTTGGTGGGGATGCAGCAAACAGTGCGTCAAACGAATCCATCATCAGCAAGGGGAATCGAGGGAGCACATGGTGCTGAGATCATTGAGGGAAGAGTTGAGGAGCGAAACAAGTAAGAAGGAAGGAACGCTGCTGGAATCTGAAACAAGAGAAGCTGTAATTCTCCAAATGTTACAATTTCCGGCGTATAGGTCGCAGTTCCACTGTCGACGAAGACGATTCCCACGTCGTTTCTACTCCCATCTCAGTGGCCTCATCCCCATAACGAAGAACTCCTTCTCGCCATTGAGGAGTCTGATTTCGAAGAAAAGGTATTCTTTTTTTCTCCCGATTCTTCTAAGAAATCGCACTTTTGCTTTCACAATGTAGTTAGGAGTACCTTCAAGAATTTAATTGGGGAATGCTGATTCTCTTGTTATGTCACGCTGATTTTGGTGGGAGCAATGTCTTTTCTACATCTCTCAGGTTAAATTAAGCTTTGGGATTTTCCATGCTTTAATGCTTTGAATTTATTGAAGAATGTCAATGGCCGTAGCTCCTTGGGCACGTAGTTAAGCTTAAAATATCAAAATCACGTAGAACTGGTAAACCATTCACATTTCTATGCGGTGATAACTTGCCCTTTCTACTTCAATTGTATTGTACCATAAATTATGCTTATATATTCGACAAATATCATATTGGCGAATGGCGATTCCTGATCTGAAACGGACTAATTTGCCATGGATAGCTATGTGCCATCACAATCTGAATTGTCCCACAGCATTCAGATCCTCTGATTAAATAAATTTAGTTTGTGCTTTACATGCTTGTAATCTTTACGAGTGATTGCCCTTCACACCTTCATTTCGTCATCTTTGGGATAACTGCCTTATTTTTACAAGCTATGAGAAGATATGGGCACTAAATAATGAACAAGATTGAAATCAGACACAGGAATGGAAAATGCTCAGCACAAGGAACCGAGGCTGGCTCTCTATATTCACATTTAGTACAGTGGGGGGACAAACGGTTACAGATCAATGAATACAAATGAGACACGTGTAAAGTAAATATACAATATAACTAATTGTATCAGTAACCTTAATCTCAATCTCTAACGAAATTTACAGACTCTGTGGGGTTACTTGGATCATTGCAAATTTTAAAAGGAGTTAGCAAGGCCTGTGGAGATTAGTTTATGCCTGATATCTAGATGGTGCATTTGTGATTTCCCCCATGCCAGTTCACTGGCTGAGTAACCATGAGGGATGATGGATATTCTGTGATTTATAGTGATTTTATTAACTTTTGATATTCTGGCAAAAAAAGAAAAAAATAATAACTTTTGATATGAAAGCTTTTATATCATGAGTTGTGTGACTTCTCCCAGAACTGCAATTATGAATTGCTGAATGGATAGTAATCCTACTCGGAGCTTTTGGATAAGCATTTGAAGTTTCAAAATATTACTCGGACCTTCTTTAATTTGATTAAACAAAACGATACAAGGCCTTCAAATGTACTCACTGCTATTCTCCTGTCTTGTCTTTTGCTGATGTACTCTCTGAGCCCCATAGGCATGCATTTGTGTTGTGAGCACCTTGCCTTACTGCAAGAATGTCAGGGTTTCCTTTTTCTGCATCTTTGGTCCTCAAATAAGATTGTGACCTCATAAAAAAAAAATCCATCATATTCTTTTTTATCTATACATATTCATCTGATTGGATTTGAACCATGCAGATTTTTCTTTCTACTTGTTGCCTCACTTGTTCAATTGTCTTTTAGAAGAGCTTCATGCAATATTAGGAGAGCAAGTACATAGCCATTCACATTTAAGCACATGCAGAATGTTGCATTGGAGAGAATAATAGCCTTCATTTAGGATACTAGGACATGCAAAATGATTTCTCATTAATCTCGGCATGAATCATTGCAGTGTAATGAAATCAGCAAGATGAGTAGCAACCTGATTGTGATTGGGAAAACTTCGACCGGCAACGAGAAGGAAGATTTTGATAATGATGGCGAGGATGATGATGTTGACGACAATGCAGGGGAATCTGAGGGTGAGGAGTTTGAGCAAGAAACTGGTTGAAGAAACTGTGCATCAATGTGAACTTATATATTTGTTTGCGAGAATACCAAGTTGAGTACAAATTCCAGCACCAAATTATGCATTCGCTCCGCATGCTGCCACAATTTGCTTCCTGCTATGTGTGCTACACACTCTTCTGTTATGCTTGATGTAAGTTTCCATAGACCACCACTATAGACTGAGAAACCGGAGAAATAAATAACAGATGGTTGATGCACTATATATTATCAACTTGATGATGCAACATACGTTAATATTTAAGTTCTTGTGTTTGGGATGATGCTTCATTATCATAGAATTTATATATAGTATCATAAAAGTTAACAAATCTAGCGGTGTGTGAGATTCTTCTGGTTTTTGGGTAATGTGCCATATCTTATGATGATTTCCTGCATCTTGGTACAATGGTATTGAGTATTTTAAACTGATGTAGCATATGATAATATTAATTATAATTAAGCTCTAAAATTATGAAATTTCAGAGAAAGACTATAATTAGCCTCTAAAATTCCCCAATTGAATTTGTTCAGTACTCATCATTCACATTTTTAATTCTCGTATTTTCAATTTTTAAATAGTCATCAATATACATTTTACATGTTTTCAATGCTAAAAAACACTTATATATAATTATTTTCAGTATTGAAACCATAGATAATGAATATTGAAACCGGAAAAGAACAAAATATTGAGTAATGAAAATACGATTGATGGCAGCTAAAAATGTGAACCATGTGTGCTGAAAAAATTCAATAAAAAATTAATTCCAATGAAGAGCCATGATAGTTTTCTAAAATTTTATGATTTTAGTATCTTAATTGTAATTAATATTTTTTTAAAAATTCTTAAATGTCGTTTTTTTTTAATTTACGAATAACTTCACGGTGATATTTTGCTTTTCTTATTTCTCTTCTCTAAAGAGAAATATGCTAAAGTTTTCTTTGATTCATTATTGCTCAGCAATCATGAATTTACCGACTAGCCAGTCCTAAGAGGAATAACCACGTATGAAAATATTCATGCAGCCTCTTCAACCGCACCAATCACTATTAAATTAATTGAACATATTTTTTGGGAGAAGTTTGTTGGGCCTGGGAAACATTTAGAAGGGAGAATACAAGTGAGTCACACCTGTAATGTGAAACTTTTTTTCATGTAAAGTCAAGTCAACTCATACTAAGTATCTCAACAATCTAGCCCTCAAAATCATTAATCACACAAACATACTTCTCCTGCTCACCCACACTTTGAAAACATCAAATTGCTATAATAGGTCAATACAATAACACTTGTAAGCTTACAAGACTTTTTCTATTGTCTTTATACTAAATTCTTTTTCAAAACTAAGCTTTGACATCATTTGTTAGACTCAAGAAACATCTCATAATAGGAAAAAATATAGTTGGGCTTCAATAGTTTCAAAAGGATATATGATATATTAGTGAGTGTGACATCACATTTTTATTCAAAAACTTAAAGCATTAAGTCTATAATTTTTTTTCCATGTATACATACCTCTTCTCTGAGCGAATTTTATTTTATGTGAAGCTTTTTTCTAACTAAATTGAATTTGCTGGTGGTAGAAGTGGTCATTTCTGAGTTTTTTTTTTTAAAAAAAAAAGAAGATTTGATCATTTCTATTCTTACTGAATTCTATTCAAAGCCACATACGCACGTGGCCATGGCTCATGTTAGGCCAATAAGAAGGCCACCTTAGGCCTTTTAAAAAAAACAGAGAGAAGTCTATTTATATTTTATACCCCATATAATCAATTATTATTTTTTGTTAATCATTAATATTAATTATATATCTGATATAATGAATTATTTTTATTGTTTATAAAAGGAAAAATTAATCCTCCAATCCTTATAGTTTTACCAATTTTTGAATCAAGTCCTTGTAATTTTTTTTCTTTTTCTTAGATCCTTATAGTTTACACAGTCAAATGTTTAAGTCCTTACGTTCACGATCGGTTCTAAATCCGTTAGTCTATGGTGATTGAGGATGATGTGGTGCTGAATAAGCGTTGACTAAGCACACACTTGGACAAATTCTTCCACATAGACACGTGACTGGACATATATTGCATAGACTAAACATACCCAGCACATTTCCTCTGGATACACGAACAACTGAAAGAAAGCTTGGTGAAGAAGAGAGTTGCTTCCTGGAAGAGAAGGGAGATAGCGGAAAAAATAAATACATTTCATTCGGTGTTACCAGTTGATTTGTCGAACATGTAAGAGAATGGGAGATCGAGTTTGAGCGCCATCGATGGGAAGATTTCAGATCAAACACGTTAGATGTCGATGGCATTGAGGGAAAAACATCGATAAGTTTGAACCACAAATCAAAGCAGCTGATAAAATTGAAGTATTATATAAACCAGACAAAATTGGAGAAATAAAAATGATAAAACATTTTGCAAAAAAATTACTGTAAACCAGACCTAATGAAGCAATAAATTAATTTTCTTGTCTTTGCTATTGTTCCAGTACCTAGAACAAGTAGAAAACAAATACATGCAGATCTGTTGCTAAAGTCTCCAAGAACATGGTCCTCTTTATTGCTACCAATCGTCATGAGGAATATCTAGGGAGGGGATCGAGTAAGATTTAGATTGAAAAAGGGAAAGTCGTGATTTTTGGAAGAAGCAAAGGGGAGAGAAAGAGAAGAGAATCGATTATTGACCTGTGTTGTAAGACTGGGTATGAGAATAGAAATCCAATATTAATCAACGAAAGCAACGACATTTCCTTTGAGTTAATCGATAGCGAGAACAGTGGCCAATCCCCAGAGCAATTGAAGGTCACGGTTCTCTGATATTGACTTCTTTGATTTCCTCTCATGGGATCTGGGAAGGAAGGATGAGAGTAGAGAAAGATGGAACAAGGGAGGGTGGAGACATGAAAGATGCCAGGCTCGAGCAATCTCTGTCTAGTCATGTATCCACGTCGAAAAGTTTATCGAGGTGTGAGCTTAATCTTTGCTTATTCAACACCATATCATCCTTAGTTATCATAGACGAACAGATTTAGAAGCAATCATAGACAGAAGGACTTAAACCTTTAACTGTATAAACTATAAGGATCCACTAAAAAGAAAAAAAATTACAAGGACTTGATTCAAAAATTGGAAAAATCATAAGGAGCGGAGAATTAATTCTCTCTTTATAAAATATTATTGATAATACCAATAACAGTTGCTTCTACTGAAAGAAGTTTTTCAAAATTAAAATTACTTAAATTTTATTCATTATCAAACATGTTACGAAATAGATTAAATAAATTAACTATATTATATTACTTCCATCTCAAATTATAAAACACTTTTACAAAAGATTTAACATTTTAAAATATAAGATATTTTGATAAAAATAATATTTTATTAATGATACTTTTTAAATATTTCACTTTTCATGTGTTTTCTCTTTTTAATATTATTTCATTAATGAATTATTAAATGAAGAAAATTTTTAAATGTTTATATTTTTATCTTAAAAAAGTAAGATTGTAAAATATATTTAATGAATTTTATTAGCATATGAGATTTTATCTAAAAATATTTTATAATTTAAAACAGAGAAAATATATTAAAAATAAAATGTTAAAATTAATTAATTATAAAAATGTAATATTTAATTTTACAATTCAAAAAGCTAAAAAAGTGATATGAAGATGCATAGATTATAATACATTAAATCTCTTAGCTAATTTCGTCTTAGATCCTAAAATACCTTCACGCGGCTTGCACACGCGGACGAAGGAAGAAAGGAAAAGTTTCCTTTCTCTGGAAGGAACCATGAAATGTTAAATCATGACTGGAGGAACAAGCCTGATAATGACTTCCATTGACCTTGTTTTTTGCACAGTGGAGTTTGAGAGGCGGAAGCCACTCAGAAAATACAGAGAGGTTCACAAGCACTAGACCGGCACTTGATACCACCACCTATTTGATTTTTAATATCATGACTATTAGGGTTGCCACTTGCTGCACAAGTTTTCCCTGCCAAAAACATATTTGGGGGAAAAAAACTACATATTATTTTAAAATTTAGATGTCGGAGTTTTCACTATTAAAAAAAATTAAATATTTTTAAAAGTTTACTATCAGCCCTTAAAAAGGATCATTATCTTTTATGAAAATTACAGTCTTGAGCAGTCTAATGATTAATTTTCGGAACTTCATCCAAAAACGGCTGATTAATTTTCGGAGGTGTACAGTAGTTATATTCTTATATACAATATTTCAAATATAATTTGTTGGTACATCTTCATGTAATCATCATATATATATATATAAATAAATAAATCGCCAAAACTCTAATAAGTTCAAAATAAAATTGTCACATAGACTAATTTAACCCAAGGCTAGCTAGTGGCTAGTGGCCAAATCATCGAGTGCAATTTGCTATATTTTTTTACCTTTTATAATAATTAACGTGGACCATTTCGTTGTACCAAAAAAAAAAATATAATTAGTTACAGAATCCTTTTTTCCAGCAATCCAATTTTAATGGTACTGAGAATAGGCATCGGTAATTCTAGGGCTTGTTTCTCTCTATCATGATATCCCTCTGGACCGGTCATTATTTGCTGCATTCTAATAACTAGAGAAATTTGAGACCTGTTTGGCAACTTGTTTTAGTAACACTTTTTTATTCTCTAAAATAAAATAATATAAAAAATTATTTGATAGCATATTTTTAAAAATATTTAAAAAAGCAGAATATCTAAAAAATGAAAACATCTTGTTTCGGTTTCAAGCTTTAAAGAAGAATCAAATACTAAAGTCACAATCCCAATCGCCTTCTGAACTGCAAGTAGGAAATTCACGAAAAAGATTGGTGCCGTTGATACAAATCAACGGAGAATATTTTGACCAACAAATTGAGGAGAAACTCAATCTGCATTAAGCCTAGTCAAATTCACATAGAAAATAAACGTTCTAGAACCCGGAAGACGGCAATATCTCCGACGTCTTCGGAATCAAATACCCCTCCTTCGGAATCTTAATTAGTAACTGCCGTCTAATTCAGCTTCGATTGAGAATTTATGAAGTAGATCATCGTATTAAATCAACTGTACTATACTCGCATATTCTTTAATATCCGTATATTTTTTAACTCCACCTCAAAGTTTCATCATCGTCTGGTATGTTCTATCTGTGGTCCGAGTTCGAACTAGTCCTATTCCTATACCACCCTAATTTGCTGGGAATCAACTCAGTGGCAGAAATTGGGGCAGCTAGGTCTACGGTTCAGGAATCGAGAGCTTCTGTCGTAACAATCGGGATAGCAGCACGCTTTTCCCCAACCGTTACGGACTCCCACCGGATACGCTACCGGACGGACGACCCGATAGGCAGGAAAATACGGCAACGATTCAGTGGAGGAGCGAGTCGATTCAGTTGAAGAGAGGTCGGCGCTCGACCGCGAAGACGGAGGAGAAGAAGAAACTTTTTTGAGAGACCTTGGGGGCGTAAGAATGGCTCTGATCTTCAACGGGTGAGCCATAGACGACGATGCTTGATTATATTCGTCGATAATAATGACCAAATCATCATCATTAGTTACTGAAATCAACGTCTCGAGGTCTCCGCTGGGTAACGAACACTTCAAGTTCACAGACGAACCACAGAACTCAACAAGCTTTCCCATGAGGTCTATAAACATCAAAAACGCATAAGTTAATTAACATGATTGAATCATCAACTCAGAATTCGAAAACAAATACACAACATCAATAAGAAAAAGAAAAGGAACAAACCTGAAAAGGCAATTGAAGGATCAACGGAGAGGACTCTGGTGTGGCCGCCGACATAACGGAGACTGCCGTCGATGGAACGGGGAAGAATCTTGCCGCCGTAACTACAGAGGAACTTAAGTGCAGGCGTGTGCTTGGAGTCCATGATTTGCTAAGTTCGCTGGGAAAAACAAGCGTGTAATCGGAAAGTCAGAGAGACAGAAGGAGAAGGAAGAATGTAGAGTTGGACCGTGAAAATTTGAGGACAGGGCCGAGGATGGACTTTATAGGGGGAAAGTGGGGACCAGAAGCTTAATTTAAATTTAAATTGTATATTTTTGCAATTAAAATAAATTACTGCGGGCCCTCCTTTCACGCGATCTGTGATCTTTGATCTATAAATCTATCGTCAAAGATGTTACATTATAAGGTAAATCTCATTTACATTCTAAAATATTAAATTAATGATAGTTAAATTAATTCAAAATATTCCTCAGGCCTTACAATGAGATTAAAAAGCGAAAAAGAGGGGTTCATATTTAAAGATTAAAAATATAATAAAACACACCCGTACCATGCTTAGAAATTTTCATTTTTTTTATATAATAAATTTGTTTTCATTGAAATTACTGTATAGCAATATTTCTCAACCTTTTTAAAAAATAATTAAGAACTTTTTTTTTCATCTAAATAGAAGGAAAAGGTCTTCACTGTGCTTGCATAATATCAAGACTCAAATTTAAGATCTCAAAGTAAATTAATTTAACTCATTTCATCGGTTAAACTAAACACTTCTTGTTTTACTCTTATAATGTTAGTAATACATGACCACCCTATCAAGCAATCAATGGTTAAAAGGTAATTTGATCTCTTAATTATAGTAGGCATAAGAGTATGAGAATTATAAACTTATATTTTTATATAATATTTCTTTTTAACCTTTGAAAATTATATACAGTAATTTGACTCAACCTAAATCCACTCGAAAAAAAGTTAGAGTTGAACTTGACTATATAAAATTTTTAAAAAAAGAGTATGATATTTTAAATCCGATTTGAATAAGTTTGGGTCGAATTGAGTCTAACCCAAATAAACTCGATAGTTGGAATTACTGACTCTATATATTTGTAGAGATGATAATTCATACTAGCTCGAACTCACCTAAAAAAAGTTAAAGTCAAGTTTGATTATATGAGTCTTTTTAAAAAGGTAGAATACTTCAAGCTCAATCTGAATAAGCTGACTCGAATTGAATCTGACTCCAATAAACCTAACCTGCCTAAATTATCGACTTTATTGAAAATAGTGCCATGTAACTTTTGTCATTAACAAAAGTTAACTTTAATTGTTGGTTGACTATGATATGAAATGACATAAAATAAATTAACAATTATATAAAATGACAAAAAATAACTAACAATGACCTAAAAAAACATAAAAGAACCAAGAAATTTTCCATATTTTTAGGTTCTTTTTTATTATTTTTTGTCAAGTAATAATTAAAATTAATTTTTATTAACTGTAGGAACTATATTACATTACTTTTAAAAGTTGAAAGAGAATATTATACAAAAAATAAATTTAAAGTTTCAAACGTTCATGAGCTCATAGTCTATGATTGAATTGTTGTTTAATCAAATAATCAACAAGAGTATTTTCTTAACAAAAGTTGAATATTATTGATGTTAATCGTATTCTTTAGTTTGCGTAAAATGATTATTTATTTATTTTAGAGCAAGACAACTTATTCATTACTAGCAGGTTAGTACAAGCAAACAAACTGAAAGCATAAATATAACAGCATTAAAGAAACTAAAAAAACAGATAGCCAACAACAACTCCTCCTGTGCACAAAGCTGATGGAGAGACCCCTACTAGCCAAATGCTAACAACATAGGAAGAAGAGGACTGACAGAGCAAAGACCTTTGAATAAAGTTAAAAATAAAGATCAGATTTGAAGTCCTGTTTAAATAAAAATTTAAAATTTAAAAATTAAGTTTTTTTAAGTAATCAGGCAGTCCTTAAATCTTATTATATTATTATTAATTTTTTTTAGTAGAATACACTTTTAAGTCAAGAAGGACCTACTAACTTAAAGTCCTAATCTTACATGTGTTGCATTATTATTAATTTTAATTTATTTTAAAATTAATTTAATAAATATCATGCACAGTATAAAATTTTGATATTTTTTCTATAATTATAATGTCTGTATATGTATAAAAAGTGAACTATTTTTTAATTAAAATTTAAATTTTATTACTAAACTTTTAAATCTGTGTTGTTTAATTTTTAAAAGATTATGAGAATTTTATTTTTTTTTAATTTCAAAACATTTTAATTAATTTGTAGTGTTTAATTTTATTATATTTTTTTAAAAATTTTTTAAAATAGGATTTGTGAGTCTAATTTTAAACCTTTTAAATAAGAATTGAGTTTTAAAAAAGAAGTAAAAAAATAAAAAATTAAGTCTAAGAATTAAGTTTTAATGAATCAAGCTCATAAAAATTGAGTATAAGATGAAAACATCTTCCAGACCAATTGAGAATCGTCTTCAAAACGATGAAAGTGGGTTCCACAAGAGCACTGACCAAAGAGCTAAAAACTCTTGGTGCGATGGCAAAAGCCATGCGTCATATACTGTTATCCAGTGGTCCATAGACCATGGCTCCTCAAGTAGCCCAAAAGACAAAACAGGGACTGCAACAAGATCAGCCAACAAACTATAAAACTTAAAAAAAAAAAAAAAAGCAGAGGGTAGCCTAACAAAAGCTTGAGAAACAAAACGCTACCCATTTTTTGTTTCTCAAGTCAATGATTATTTATTTCTTATAAAGAGGTTTGAGAAGTGTGTTAAATAGTATCAAGATCAAACTTAAATGATAGCACTTTTCCTTGCATAGAGTTAAAAATATGAGTTGAATTATATATATTGATCTAAATAACCAACCATAAAAGTTACTTTGGGTTTGAAATAAATGATCCAAATAAAAATAAAGTTTTTTTTATTAGATCAAATAATTTGTGAATCATATAATCTAACCTTAAACTTGTTTGGCCCATATTATTTAAAAAAAAAATGGTCGAACCACATAACTTTTGACAAATTGATGAATATGATTTGGTTTGGTTGACCCAATTCATATATTTTGTACAATTTATCAAAAAATTATATTTTATACAAATATTATGGTTTATTATTTTAGTTTATTTAAAATGAATCATAAAGGAACATCATGTTGGAATCCATCATCATTTAAGGGACTCGGTTTGGGTGCTCAGCACCAAAATGCTATCATTTAGCTGTGTTTTTTTTTTTCCTTTTCTTTTGTTAAACCTCAAATTTATTATTAATTTATTCAATAATAAATAATTATTATAAAATTATTATTTTAATATTTAATAAATAAATAAATATTAAAATATTAAAATTGAACCTGAGTAGTTCAAATAAAATTTTTGGTTTGAACATTGAAAACTATACGAAAAAATAAAAAATGATCTAAATAATTTAAAACAGGGGTTAACTCTAGTAAAATGAGTTAGTTTCTTACATTGTAATAAATCAATGTTTGAATTTCTATTAAGAGAAGTATCTATATTTAATACTTAATCATGTCTTGAATGATATTATCTTTCATAGATAAAAAAATGTGCAAAATTAATAAAATAAAAAAATATTTTTAGTTACAATTCTAATTTTTTCAATATAGTTCTAAAATGTTTAGATTAAAATTTATATATGAATTATTTAAGTCAAATTTTAATGAGTTAAATTGTTCAGGTTTAATTTTAACATCTTAATATTTATTTATTTATTAAATATTCAAATAATAATTTCATAATATTTATTTATTATTATAATGAATGATTGGTTAAAAAAAATAGTAGTGTTTTGGTGTTAAGCACCGAAACCGATTTCGTCATTTAAGTGTATTTTTTTATATTCATGAAAAAATAAATTAAAAAATGAGTTGGTGAGTTAACCCATTTAATTTCTCAACTCTCAATCATTAGGTTAGGTTGTAATTTTTTCAACCCATGCAAAAATAAATTGAATTTAATTTAACTTATATTTTTCTCAATTCATATGCTTTGGGTTGATTCATGTTCCCAATTCTATTCTTGCATGTTTTTTAATTGATAAGCTTTAGATGCTAATCTTTTTTTTTAAAAAAAAAAAAAGAAAGAGATGCCAAGTTCTTTTCACCCATCTCAATTATTTTATGTGTTTTAATGCATGGAATAACCTAAACTAGAACGGAATTTCAAGAAATAGTGACACATAAATATTTCATTTATGATTATTTTTGTAATCAGCTATAATTTTTTATACAGAACTATGCTTTCTTACTACACGGGTTTTGATTGAAGAAAATTATTTAAAAGGATTGTAACTGAAAAAAACTTCTATAATGTCAACCGAACATCTTACAATATGGGTATTTTTATCATTGTTATTTCAATCTCACTCTCTCTCTCAAGGGACTTGACATATATTTTTGGATTGATGGGACTTTTGAAATGGTTGTGGGCAATTTTAGGATGATTTTTACTTTTATGATTGGGGAAAACTGTGTGTAAAAAATAACCAGGGACAATTTTAAAAAAATAAAATAAGCAGTACTATAATTATAATGCTACAAAACATGGGAAAATCTAAATACATCAAATTTTCTCTACGACAAATTGAAATTATTTAACTTGTTAAAGAAAGCGGAAGTCTTCAATTTTGGTCCCCCACATCGATTTAGCTCACATGCTTGTTTGGAAAACATAAATTTAATTAAATTTCCTAATGAATTATTGATTATTTATTAGCTAGGAGCAGCTTTCAATAAAAAGTCAATTTTAGGCATGCTAAATTCCTAGACTCTGCGGAACTTTTCAAATTAGCTAGGAGCATTATGGCTTTGTGGCTGTTTACGTCTTTCTAGAAAAATACATCCTCGTATCTCATTTATATATCACATTTTAAAAATTTGTTTGATTAAATTTATAAGATATGAGATAACTTTTTAAATAATATTTAAAGTATTTCATTTATATATCCATGACTGTCTTATATTGATTCACATCTAGTCACCTTTTCGTCGTTCTGATTTATGTGCATAGTTTCTTGTTTTGTTATGTTCAAGTTATCAATTATATATATATATATATATATATATATATTGTTTTGTTCTCTCTTTCTCGTAGATGCATGGACCATCGGATAAAAGGACCCATCACTGTCGAAATTTGGCGACAAAAA